TCAATTTTTGTTGAATGAAATAAATGAACTAGTTAGAGCAGCCATTTTTCCTTTCCTTCCCTTAAGCAACTCTTCAGCACATACCACAGGGATTCGGACACGGGACGCAGCATATGTTTACTGAACACCTACTGTGTGCTGGATGCTTCCTCATTCATGGTAGCCTTTCCTCTTTTCTGCCCTAGTTCCACCATCACACCGTCCCATGGGGTGGATTTTGTGCTGGAAGGAAAATGAAGTCTCAGGCAGGTCAGCCACTTCACTACGCTGAGCTTTGATACCTCCTCTGCCAGATGGAAAGGGCCCGGCAGAAAGTAGGTGCTCAATAAATAGTACTTTCCCTCCCCTCCCCCCCCACCCCCTAGAGGGTGGGAGTAATTCTCCCTGTGTTAGCCCTGGGGTCCACGGCTTGCGTCTGGGACTTCCAAGGGGAAGGAAGAGAAGGGGGGAGACCAGAGAAGAGCAGGAGGAAGAGGAAGTGAGAAGGAGCCGCCACCCAGGCAGAGCCCGCCCTGAGCATGTGAGCTTTTGGGGAACGTGCAGCTGCTTTCACTGGGCCTAACTCGGGGATGGGTCAGGACTCGGCCCCCAGCCCTCGCGGCAGCAGGGTCACAGGTGGCGGGGGAGCCATGCCCGGGACAGATGTGAGAGCTGCCGGAGCTCCGGGCCTGGAGGATGCGCCGGTCACCCAGGGCCCGGAGCTCAATGGGCCCTTTCTCTCCCCATAACAAGCACATCCCTTGTTTGTCCTTTGTTTGTGTGCTTGCTTCCCAGGCTGTTTCTCTTCTGCTTTTCCTCCCACGGGGCTCAGCCTGGGGCAGGCACCTCCAGGGGTGCTGGGCTCCCAGCATTTCCGGAGCATCGCCCCTCTCTCCCCAGGCTGGGGCCACACAACGTGGGGAGACAAAACTCCTCACCCGGGGGGACTGCCCATCAGGACCTGCTCACCAAGGCCCAGGCGCCGTGCCGGGGTTGGCACGCATTCCCCCCGCCAGCCCCACTGGCAGGACACAATCGGCCACCTGGACAGAGCATGTCACCACCTGCTTCAAACTCTTCAAGGCCCAGCTCTGGCTGCCAGAGGAGGAGCTTGAGGCACAGAGAGCTCAGCGCCTTCGCAGCCGCAGTGGCTGGATTGGAACCCGGGCCTCGGGTGAGGGCCCAGACTCAGCCTCTGCACAGCCCGTTCAGCTCCCAGCTCCCCATCGTCCTTCATTCACCGTCACTCCCCCGACACGTGCCTGCTCCCAGCTCCCCAGGAGTGCTCCCTCCGCCATAAAACCACCTCCCTCCACGCGTGGGCATGGTCAGGACGCAGGGATTTCCTGGGAGCAAGCCCTCAGACCTCCTTTGGCCAGTAGACCCCAGCTGTCCACGTGGCCTCATCCACAGAAGAAGGTCTCAGGGGGATGCTAGTGCTGTTCCCATTCTACAGATGGGGCCACTGAGAAACAGGAGCCATGGGTCACCCCCACCCAAGGCGGCAGGCTGCTGGGCCTGAGGGCGGGTCTGGGTCTCGGCTCCTGTTGACAGATCCCCCCACTAGAGTCCAGCTGGACGAGGCAGTGCCGGGAGGGACAGGCAGAGGCCAGTCCTAAGGCCAGGTTTGGGACGGCCGGGACCGAAGGAAGGCGGGCATGAGGGAGCGCTGGTGTGCTGGGCTGGCAGGAGCCCCCCAGCAGCACCTACCCCCTCCTGTCTCAGTTCCCTCCCCAAACTCACACGCTGAGCATCCCCGAGTAGCTCAGACACCGCAGGTCATCCTGCAAGGGGCATGGAGGGGTTGGCATGGCCCAGGCTGCGGCCCCGGCTAGAAACTGTCCTCTGCTCATCTCTGGAGTCCCCTTCTCAGACTTCCACCCGGGCCCGGCTCCCTGGCTCCCACCAGCTTCCTCCCACGCTGCCTCCCCAGCCCCTGCTGCCCCCCGCCACGGCACCGGGCTGTTGGCTCCCGCTCCCTGGGGTGTGCGAGACACGAGGCCTCCAGCTAAAGGCAGACTCCCCCCAGCCCGGGCGGCCCCTGTCCTTGGCCACGCCCTGAGGGCTCCCCAGACTCAGAGATGGTGCTGGAAGCAAACCTTCAGCCAGGCAGGGTCTCCCCCAAATGCCGAGAGATCTGGAGTGGGGGAGGGGCGCGGAGAGGGTGGAGGATATGTGCGAGGAGGGGCCCTGACTGGGGGGCAGCCCTAGGACCTCTGCTTGGTGTCCTGGGGGTCCCTGGGCGGGTCCTGGGCCTTGCGGGGCCCGGTGTGCCCTGTGGGAGGAGGCAGGCTCCCTCTGTCCCCTTTGCCCAGACCACCCTCTGGGGCTGGGCGCTGGGCCTCTGTCACCTTCAATCCCCAGGGCCTGGCCATCTGGGCACGGTCCTCTGAGGGCCGCATTCGCTGGCATCGTGGGGTACTCCATGTGTGCCAAGCACGCTGCAGGGATGTTCTTATTTTATCCTCACAGGCACAGTCTCATCTCCACTTTACGGAGGAGAAAGCCAAGGCTCACCGAGGGCAGGTCGGCGCCCCGGCACTGCTCACACCCAGCCGACTGCTTCCAGAACCTTCCAGCTGAAGCACCAGGCTCCATCCGGGCCGGTGTGCTCCGTAACTAACTGATGCGGGACTGACCGGAACGTTCAACCTAGGCTGTTGCTGCCGAGAGGATTAAATATGGAAGTCGCTGCCGAGGCCCGGTGCTCAGGGGAACTCAGTGAGTCAGATTTGCTCGAGAGAGAGGCTGCAGGCTGCTCCGTAAATGCCCCGAGTTCCCGTGTCCTGAGTTAGCCCTGGGACCTCAAGTTCCGTCCAACAACACCCTCCCTGCTGAGAGAACGGCGTTTGCCTCGCTCGGTGGATGTTTTGTCTGAGCCTAAGGTTGCACCATGAGCACAGGGAGGTGAAGGTGGGTCCTGGCACCACTCCCGTGTTCCCAACGAGCCGTCTTCCAATTAGCCACTGGTCCGTTAGCACGCCACCTCCTGGACCCCCCGCCTGGGTGGGTGGGGACCCAGCATGGGTCTTGGGACTCGGTGCTTTGGCCACCGAAGCAGCCACCTTCTCTGGAAGTGGCCATTCCCCTGAGGGAATGGGGTGCGGGAGGAGCCCTCACCCGCCCTGAGCCCCTTCATGAATAAGAGTAAGGGACATCTGTCAGTGTTTATGGAGTCTGTATTAGGACTGTCCTAAGCCCTTTCATGAGTCAACTCATAGGTGAGATCATCACTAACGTTACTTCCACCGACAGATGAGAACACTACGGCACAGAGAGGTCAGTTCACCTGCTGAAGGTCACACAGCAGGTGGGTGATGATGCTGGGGTTGGAACGCGGGCTTTGGGGTTTCAGAGTGCGTGTCGGAGTAACGTGTTCTCTCCCCGCTGCCTCTGAGCCAGCCTCTCGCCCTGTTCCCCACGGCTGAGGGTGTAGTCTTTCGTGGAGCTAAAAGGAGAATGTTTTTGTTCCATTTTTTTCCCCTCTGATTTTCACAGCATCTGTGGATGGGCCCAGAGATGAGTGAGATACTGTCTCCCACCCTTAAGGGGCAGGAAAGGCGAAAGGCGAAGACACAGCCTCACCCTCTCCATATTTCGGATAATGAAGTCCAGCCGGGAATGGAGCGGCTGGCCGAGTTCCCACAGCCGGGAGGAATTCCACCGCAGGGTCAGGCTGACTCCTTCCACACTCGGAGCAAGTGGAGAAACACCGCCATGCGCCAGCACTCAGCGGGCCCTCGCGGGCAGGAAGCTCGGCCTGAGCCCTGGCTTCCCGAGGGAGGACCCATCCCGTAATAAAATGTGTAAGGACAGCCGGCCGGCCAGTGCGGCTCACGAGCCAGGAGGTCACGGTTTGATTCCTGGCCAGGGCACATGCCCGGGGGCGTACATGAGGCAGCCAATCAATGTTTCTCTCTCTCCCTTCCTCTCTCTCTAAAATAAATAAAAACATAAAAAATTTAAAAGCCCAGCAGGCATGGCTCAGTGGTTGAGCATGGGCCTATGAACCAGGAGGTCGCGGTTCGATTCCCGGTCAGGGCGCATGCCTGGGTTGCAGGTTCGATCCCAGTGTGGGGCATGCAGGAGGCAGCCGATCCATGATTCTCTCTCATCATTGATGTTTCAGTCTCTCTCTCCCTCTCTTTCCTCTCTGAAATCAATAATATATGTATTTTTTAAGTGAAAAACTGCATGCGGACCATGGAATAAAGTTCCTATTTCTCTAAGGAACGCTTGCATTTCAGGGATGAAACTGTATCTTGGTAACACAGAGAGGCCGGGAATGCAGCCCCCGCTGGCGAGGACCGGAAGGCGTGTCTTCTCCCCGTGTTTGTTTCCATCCCGTCTGGGATCGAAAGTGCTTCAAGGAACAGGCCCGCGGCGGGCGCTCGTGTTTTCCCACGCAGCTGGCCGCTGACAGCAGCTTGGCTGCGAGCACAGCACCCCGTAGGCCCCCCTCCGCGGCTCCCTCATAAATCCCAGGGAGCCAGGATTTCTGGAAGGCTCTGTGATTACTGAGGGAAGACAGTGAGTCAAAATTAATTCTTTGCTTTATTTTTACAAAGGAACATTTTAACCCTTTATTTGCCTTTTCAGATTGACATATAATTTTTCTAGATCAAGTACTTTTATGTTCGTTCTAGACATGTTTGATAAACTCCATATAAATCATATAGAATTATGGGAATAGAAAGCATCCACCAAAGAGTTTTGGTGGACCTCAATAATGAATTGTGTAGTTACTTCCCAAAATATGTTACTCCTTTATGTAAGAAGAGTTCCATAGTGTTTAGGTAGAGCCTGATTTCTAGCCAGATAAATTAGCAAAATATGTAATAAAGAATAGAATCACCAACAAATAGGTAAATATAACATACTTAGGAAAGGCATTGTGATTTCTGTTATGTGCCTTTTGTTGAGTGTAGAAAAGCTGGTCTCTAACATATGTGTAATTTAAGATGTTATTCTTTTGAAGATGTATCTTTAGCATGTTATTCCATTATCTTCTACCATCCATTGTTTCTTATAAAAAATCAGCTGTAATTCTGACCATTGTTTCTCTGAATATGATTTTCTTCAGGCTACTTTTAAGATTTTCTGTTTATCTTTAGTTTCTATAGTTTGACTCTAATATGTATTATTGTGGTTTTCTTTGTGTTCACCCTGTTTGGAGTTCTCTGAACTTTTCATATCTATGGATTGATATATGTCATCAGCTTTCAAAAATTCTCTTCAAATATTTCTTCGGCCACATTTCCTCTCTCCTCTTTTTCTGGACTCCAATTTAAATGGATTTTAAACAATTTTATAGTGTTCACATGTCTCTCATAGTCTGTTCTATATTGTTTATTTTTCTCTTTGTGCTTTATTTTGAGTAATTTTGATTGACTTATATTTGAGTTCATGTATCATTTCTTCTAACTTGTCTTGTGTACTCTAAATTCTGTCCATTGAATTATTTCAAATACTGTATGTTTACCTATTATAGAATGTACCTTTAAATTATTTTTTAGAGACCCCATTCTCTGTTGAAATGTTCCATCTTTTTATCCTTATTCTTTTTTTCAAACTATAAGAGAACATCCTTCCTATATAATAAAAGGCTAATATGCAAAATGTCCCCTTGGGAGTTCAACCGACCGGGGGTTCGACCGCTCTCTATGACATGTGCTGACCACCGGGGGCGGTGTGGAACAAAGGAAGGTCCCACCAGCAGTTGGGGAAGGAAGGCCTCAATCAGTCCTGATTGCCAGCCAGACCTAGGGACCCTACCCGTGCATGGATTTCATGCACCGGGCCTTTAGTTTATTTAGGAAATCACAGAGGTAAAAGTAATTTGTAGAAGAAATAGGCTTAAGAAACAAGTTATAGAGGCAAAGGAAGGGCCCTTGGAGCTTAGAAGTGAGGAAGGTAAAGGTGACCAGACTGGGGGGGGGGGGGGGGGGGGGGTAGAAAATATGTCCTTTATTGTTTATCTTCTTGTCTTTGTCTGACTGTTGGCATGAACGTGAACAAAAGGAACAAAAAAGAAAAGATAAGATTCCTGTTGCCGGGAAACGAAGACATTCTAGAGGGAAGAGCAGCCTGGGGTGGGGAGCCTGCCCACTGGCGAAGGGCCGCTGTCCGGGATCAGGAAGCGAAGGGAGAACTGGAATTTGCTTCCGGTTCTCAGCCTCATCAATGGGTGAGGGAATACAGCCCCTTCCCTCAGATGAGGGACTTGAGAATCCTACGAGAGGGAGTTGTGTGTGTGCGTGTGTGTGTATGTACGCGTGCGTATGTGCATTTTTTCGTCCATCCTGAAAAGGGTCGCAGAGACTGCGGCTTAGAATTTGTAGCCACACACACCTGGATCCGGACCCTGGCTCTGCCCTTGGTGACAAGGGCGCATTTGGACGTCGGTGTCATTCCTCCGCCTCTGGGACTCCTCTTCTTGCCAAGGGGAAGGGGTGGTCATGTCCTCCTCGGGGTTAGCGTGAGGGTGACGTGAGATAAAACATGTGAAACGCCTGTGGACTCGCGCTGTGTGCCAAGAAAAGTGAGTTCCTTTCTTCTCTGGGAAAGGCTTTGCCCACGTGGGGTTTTCAAAGCGTAAGCCATGCTTTGTTAGTGAGCCGGATAATAGGAAACTCTATTTCCAAAAAACAGGTAAGCCCTGGCCGGGTAGCCCAGTTGGTTACAGCGTCGTCCCGATATGCCAAGGTTCAGTCCCTAATCAGGGAACATACAAGAGGCAAGCCATGAGTGCATAAATAAGTGGGACACCAAATCTCTCTCCTCTTCTTCTCTTCTCTTCTCTTCTCTTCTCTTCTCTTCTCTTCTCTTCTCTTCTCTTCTCTTCTCTTCTCTTCTCTTCTCTTCTCTTCTCTTCTCTTCTCTTCTCTTCTCTTCTCTTCTCTTCTCTTCTCTTCTCTTCTCTTCTCTTCTCTTCTCTTCTCTTCTCTTCTCTTCTCTTCTCTTCTCTTCTCTTCTCTTCTCTTCTCTTCTCTTCTCTTCTCTTCTCTTCTCTTCTCTTCTCTTCTCTTCTCTTCTCTTCTCTTCTCTTCTCTTCTCTTCTCTTCTCTTCTCTTCTCTTCTCTTCTCTTCTCTTCTCTTCTCTTCTCTTCTCTTCTCTTCTCTTCTCTTCTCTTCTCTTCTCTTCTCTTCTCTTCTCTTCTCTTCTCTTCTCTTCTCTTCTCTTCTCTTCTCTTCTCTTCTCTTCTCTTCTCTTCTCTTCTCTTCTCTTCTCTTCTCTTCTCTTCTCTTCTCTTCTCTTCTCTTCTCTTCTCTTCTCTTCTCTTCTCTTCTCTTCTCTTCTCTTCTCTTCTCTTCTCTTCTCTTCTCTTCTCTTCTCTTCTCTTCTCTTCTCTTCTCTTCTCTTCTCTTCTCTTCTCTTCTCTTCTCTTCTCTTCTCTTCTCTTCTCTTCTCTTCTCTTCTCTTCTCTTCTCTTCTCTTCTCTTCTCTTCTCTTCTCTTCTCTTCTCTTCTCTTCTCTTCTCTTCTCTTCTCTTCTCTTCTCTTCTCTTCTCTTCTCTTCTCTTCTCTTCTCTTCTCTTCTCTTCTCTTCTCTTCTCTTCTCTTCTCTTCTCTTCTCTTCTCTTCTCTTCTCTTCTCTTCTCTTCTCTTCTCTTCTCTTCTCTTCTCTTCTCTTCTCTTCTCTTCTCTTCTCTTCTCTTCTCTTCT